GGCCGTAGTTTCCTGCCAGAAGCCCACGGCCACAGCCACGGGACTCGGCGGCACGGAGTTTCGGTCCACGGCTTGCTGCCGCCGCCGTCGCAGGGGTGCTGCCTGCGGCGGCGGCGGCACGGCGTTTGGGTCCACGGCTTGCTGCCGCTGCCGCCGCCGCAGGGGTGCTGCCTGCGGCGGCGGCGGTAGCGCACGTGGCAACCCCCCGCGTTTCCTTGCCTCCCATCCACCGGACCCCGTCCTGCGCTTCACTTTGTTTAGGGAGGGGCTGCTCACTGCTCATTGCTCATTGCTCATCGCACACTGCTCAACGCTCATTGCCCTATATCCCACCCAGCCGCAGGACTCCACTGCCGCCCGCGCCCCGCCCCATCTGGCCGCTTGCGCGCCCCATCCCCCCTCGATGGGGCCCGCCCACACCGGGGCCTCCCCCCTCCCGCCCACTGCTTTCTCAACGGCCCCGAGCCGGGGCTGCCCTCATTGCATACATAGTGCGCCTTTCCCTGCTTTTCTAGTGACCTAGCGTTCCGCACTGCCGTTTGGCCAGCCCATGCTCCCGTACCGTTGCGTTTCTCCCCAATGCGCCATGCCACTTTGCCAGTCATACACACGTTTCGATGCGTGCCCTGTCAGCTGCTTGCGTTGCATGTCGCCTTGCTCCACCCCTGTTTTATTGCTTTCTCTGCTTTCGCCCGGTTCCCGTCCCGTTTCGGCGGGGAGTCTATGTTGCAAGCTAGTTCTTGCTTTACCAGACTTTAAGCCCACACTGTCGTGTACCGCAGGAGCTGTACCGCTGGCCCTCAGTGGCGGAAGTTGGCCGTCGCGTGCTGGCGCTTCGCTACCGCCTGCTGCCCTTCTACTACACCCTTGTGCATGCCGCCACCGAAACCGGCGCCCCTATCTTCCGCCCCCTGTTCCTCAACTTTCCAGGAGATCCCACCACCTTCCCTAACAGCAGGTGTTGAGCTGAGAGCTTGCTGCCCGACATTCCGCTTGCCGGGACGATGCATTCATCCGGCGCTGGCTTTTGCCGCGCCAAGCTGAGCTGCTCACCAACAGTACTTGACTGTGTGCTGCAGGCAGTTCATGGTGGGCGACTCCCTGTTGGGCACCCCGGTGCTCGAACCCAATGTGACCACCGTCGAAGGCTACTTCCCGGCGGGTGTTTGGTACAACCTATGGGACAACAGCACCGTGGACACCAGGTGGGTACCCAGCTGCGGGGCAGAGGCTGCGAAGGAGGGACCTTCGG